TACGATTTTATTCGTCGAACTTTTGTCAAATTTTTTTTTTGAATCTTCGAAGTGTCAAATTATTTTCTGCTATTACTTTTGTTTTTTGTTTTGTTTTTAATCATTTAAACGCATTTTAATTACAATCGTGTGTCAAAGTACGTTAATTTACAGTAGTTGTTTTGATTCGTAGATTTAAGTTACAAAAAAAAAAGATAAGAGAGAGAAAGAGAGAGAGAGGTGTTTAAAAAAAAAAGAAAAGGTTTTCTTTCATTTTTTATTTTTTATTTTTTGTAATAATTTTATTCAAATCATAGAGAAACGCTGGTAAGTTGTATCAATCGACCAAGTTTGGAATATTTCAAAGTTTTATTTTAACGAGAGAGTGAGAGAGTGAGAGAGAGAGAGAGAGCGAAAGAGAGAGAGAGAGAGAGAGAGAGAGAAAGATATTAGAAAAGTGTGAATTATTAACATTTCGTTTGCAACGAGAAAAAGGATTTTTCCATAGTGGATGAACAAATTTTGGAAGAAAGAAGACACGATCGATTGTAACGATCGATAAATTGTGTGCTCTGCTACATCGGATTCGAAGGATTGGGATTTCCTTTCCAATTTTTTTTTTTTTTTCAATTCAATCTTTTGTGTGTGCTTTTTCGTTTCTTTTTACACATATATATATATACATATATTTTCTTTGTGCTCTTGGATCGATAAAAGGAATCGGGATAAATGGTTATTTTATTTTTGTATATCTCGAAAGAGACAGTGAAACAAAAATGGCCAACTAAGGTGCAACGACAATTGTGAAAATTATTCTAAGGACTGATATTTTTTTTTTTTTTGATGTTGTTCGATACGTTACTATTTACGGATTTATTTCATATATTATCGTTCATTTATTTATTTTTTTTTTTTTACTTACAATTAACGAATTATTCAAATGATATTCCATTTTGTGAATTTTTTTTTTTTAAATTAATTTTTGTTTTTTTTTTTTGTTTTTTTTTTGACGAGTGAAGTATCATCGTTTTATTAAGTTGTAATTTTAATTTTGTTCGAAATATGTCATCGATATTGTCTGACCTATTATCTTTCTGGGATTTACTACTTTAACGAGAGAAGATTCGAGAAATTAATCGAAGACTTTATTAATAAACTATTAGTGAAAATATTTATCAATTTTTCTAAATTAACGATTTAATAGTTTCATTTGTTTCGTTGAAAAAGAAACAAAAAATAAAACAAGATATTTGCTAATGTCCGTTAATAGTTTGATCGGTTAGAAAACGTGCCGCCATTTTGATCCAAATTGCGCGGGTAAAGTTTCCGCGTTTTATGAAGAATTAAACCACGTGATATATATCGTACGAAAATTTTTCTATCGCAATTTAAAATACGCATTTATATTTATACGTATATATATATATATATATATATATATATTTGAAAGCGTGCCGCCATTTTGATCCAAATTGCGCGGGTAAAGTTTCCGCGTTTTATGAAGAATTAAACCACGTGATATATATCGTACGAAAATTTTTCTATNCGCATTTATATTTATACGTATATATATATATATATATATATATATTTGAAAGGGTGATTTCGATTTGTACGTTTATCAACGCAATCGTTGATGTATTTAATCCGTGACTTAGTTCGTTGGTATTTCTCGTTGGAGAGAAGGCGGAGTTATTTTTGACTTGTTCCACTTGCTTCCTGTTAGAAACATTTGCAACGAGATACGCTTACGCACGTAATCGTCGAAGGTTTACGGCAACGGATTTTTAACTTAGCATAGTGTTAGTTCGAATTTAAAAGTTCAATTAATTCATCACGGTTTTTCAAATTGTAACCTATACATTAAAATTTAGACAATTTCCAATATGGCGGATACATTATATTAATTGTTTTCTCTTTCTCTCTTATAATTTGAAACTTTATCATGTTTTAATGTATAAATTAAAATAAAAGGATACAATTTCCAATATGGCGGATACATTATGTTAATTCTTTCATCTTTTTCTCTCTCTTATATTTGAAATTATTTAATTTGATAATGGTATTTTATATCTAATAAAAAATATTTTCACGTTTTAACCTATAAATTAAAATGAAAGGATACAATTTCCAATATGGCGGATACATTACGTTAATTCTTTCATCTTTTTCTCTCTTATATTTGAAATTTTTCAATTCGATAATGGTATTTTATATCTAATAAAAAATGACAAATAACATTATTATTATTATTATTTTTTAAAGATAATTTAAAAAAAGAAGAAACTATTGTTTGTTGATTAATTAGGGCCGCCCAGATCGTGCCGCCAGAAGTAGTCCGTCCGTCGCCGAATTCAGCGAGGAACGAAGAGAACGAAGACAAAATTATCTATCGAGCAGGCCTCCCTCTCCTCCCTCTTATCAAATAGTGGGGAAAAGGAACGACGAGTAGTGCGAAAGGAGAAGAGAACAAGAAAAACAGAAGAGAGGAAAATCTCCATTCTCTCGAGTGTGTTTTGAAGTAACCAAACGAGAAGAAGACAAAGCAAACCAGCAGCAAACTTTTCAATTCAACATGCCGAAACCAAAGCCACAGGAGGGAGAAGATCCCGATCCAACTCCCTATCTATTTGTTTCTCTTGAACAAAAGAGAATCGATCAAACTAAACCTTACGATGCTAAAAAGGCTTGCTGGGTACCCGATGAAAAAGAAGGTTATCTTCTTGGTGAAATCAAAGCTACCAAGGGGGATGTTGTTTCCGTTGCATTACCAGGCGGCGAGGTTTGTATATTTTTCTTTTTTATTTACATTTAACATTTATTTATTTACTTATTTATTTATTGGTTACCCATATCTCTCTATTTGTTCTTTTGGAAATTTGATATCAACAAGTTTTATTGAATTGGATACTTTATTTCAAAATTATTGCTTTTTTCAATTGTTCATCAAGGGGATTCTCAAACTTTATAAAATTTTTTTTATTACACACAAGTATTTTTTTTTTTTTTTTGATTAAAATTTATTACATCTAGAGCCGAGTGTTTGTAATTGAATTGATATTATTTTATTATATTCGTAAATGATACTCGTTGTTACAGTAAATACAAATTTTGTTTTAACATTTATTTAAATATTTTATATTCAAATTGTTGCAACGAAAATAACGCTAATGTGTACAATTAATAATACATCGTGTATATTATAGTTTGAGAAACGTTCTCCTACATTATTTATAAATGTATATTTATTATTACGTATACAATAGATTGCTGTATAAAACTTTGTACAAAATATTAACATTTTGTTGAATATTTTGAAATGAAATTTCAATGAAAAATAATCTCTCAATATTTTACATTTAATACAAATATATTTTTTTCGTGAATTAATTGTAAATAATATATAAATATAATAATATATTAATTTAAACGCGAATTCGTATACAGTTATCTACTGTATTACACAAATATACGTTTTAAATAATAAAAAAAAAATTTATAACAAATATTTGACAATTATAAATATACGTTTTAAATAATAATAATAATAATAATAATAAAATAACATTTTATACACAAATATTTAACAATTGAAATACAATTTACAATTTACAGTTGATATTTGAATTTGAAATGATTGAAAAAGCAAATAAAATTAATTTATTCTTATACGATACAAATAGAAGAGAGAACGGGTAAATAAATATATATAT